AAGAGCCTGTTTTTGTCCTGCCGGTTGGGCTGGGGAACAAAAGAAAATGCAGCAATTAAATATTTTCTGGATGGCACTATAAGAATGCATCAATTGGAACTGCAGTGCTTTCCACTGATATGGAAATAATTCCCATTAAGTGCAGCTCCTTTAGGGAGACCGTAGCATAATCAAAAATGCACAGGTGCTGTTAATGTGAAGCCTGCACACGTTTTAAGCTTTTAAAAAGCCTTATAGAGGCCAAGAGGAGCCCCGATTTGGGGGCGCGCGCACCAGCGAGATCACATCCCTACGGCGATTAATCAGATCTAATTTAATTTCCTGCGTCTTTACTCATTTGCATAGTGACAAACAGAGTTCTAATGGTCGCCAGTTAAAGCACACGATAGAGCTTGGAGACCAAAAATGGAGGCAACAAAGGAAAGCCTATAAGGTGTATTTTTGTTGCTGAACTGACTTTTCAGAAAAAAGGACAACATATTCTGTTGCCTCCATTCTCTGTACAGAAGTGACAAATATCGGTATTATTCATCTGATTTTCAAATAAAGTATTACGTTCTGTCAACACTGTAAAAAAATGGTGAAAGAATGTCCTGTGGAAATCCACTTAAAGGTTATACAACAACGTATGAGGACAGTGGAAAAGACTGAAACCGAAATCCAGACAAAAGTGTGTTAATTTTTGTTTAGTCACAAAAATATCATGATGTTTTATAGATTGCTTTTCTTGCAATATGATAATAAATGTCATTCAACCACACAGTTCATTTCTTATGTGCAACAATGACATGACATCATCTTTATCAGACGTAACGACAGCTTTATTGGATGTTTCCATGAAATAAAGACAGAAAAGGGTCGCCTCATTTCCCCATAATAATTCCACCACCTCCCGCATCGCTCCTCTGTCGGTGAAAGATGACAATAAGCCACTATGCGTTGTCGTCGTCTTATGCCTGTGTCACTAGATGGTGTGCTTTGTCTCTAAACGAGAATGACGCCCTGCATTTTGAACTTAACCTGTCCAACTGCAACATGTAGGGATGAAAACTGCATCTAAATGTCATGTTCGGCACCTCACCCTTATTTCCGCAGACGACTTTCAATTCCACAGAGATCTTTGAAGTCATTGACAAATTCTGTGCTGCTTCTTGAAAATAGCACTCAGGTCAATGGCGCAAAGAAGGCCGAGACCCGCTGATATAGAGCACTGTAGGCACACCCCCTTTTTTATTCATGGAATTTTAAACGGACATTGTGTCATAAGCGCAGTACAATGATTAATTAGGGATGGGAGCCAAAAACTACAGCCTCAGTTTTGTCAGCGTACGGTAACAAGAAATAACTGGTCTTTACAGCATGTCTGAATGTTGGTGAACTGATTAGCTTCATCAGGTTTCACTGACAGAGTACAGTTATGCGTCTGCATAACAGTGGAATTTAACAGAATGTTTTTTTTTTTTTTTTAAATAATACTACATCAATGAAGCATGTAAAAATCAAACTGTGCTGGTCCAAGTGCGGACCCCTGTGGGACGCCATGACCAAGTTTTATGCTCACAGTATATTTGTTGCCCATTTACCAACTGAAAGCAACATGACAAGAATAAATGAAAAGTGTTTGTCGGACAGGTCTACTAGCCAGTGGAGGCGCAAATTAAATGCATGATGTTCGTAATCCAAGGTTGTCAACACTTGTCTGGTAGGTCTTTGTCTGTCTTCAAAACAAAATGAATAGGTTTTGTCCAGCATTGGAAATATGTGTTTGAAAACACGACACTCACACCATAAGGTTCTTGACACTTGGTGTTAAAGCAAAGTAATGACAACTGGCTGTCTGCTTTTCACCATTGTGTGAGTCTTTGATCATCTTTGTTCTTCTTTGAAACAAAGTGAAGGTGGTTTTGTCAGTCAATTGAGATACGTGTTAAAACCTGACCGTCAGAATCCAAGGTTGTCCACACTTGGGTTGGTTTTCAACTTTTTACCGTTTTGAGAGACTTTACTCATTTTCAATACAAAGTGAATGTGGTTTGTGCCAGGCCATGCAATTATTCAGGTGCTTTTGGTGTATACACACTTCAATTAGCTCAAATAGTGGTTGGAATGCCTCCGAATGCAAATCTGATATACTCAAACAAAATGGACATTTATTTCTAAATTTAATGGGAAGAAAAATGCTAGCAGGCCAATGCACAGTGGGTCCTGATTCAGCATTCATCTTCATTACAGCGGTCAATACAACCAAATAGATTTTTCAAGCAATTCTTGAAATCCCATTATGTATTCTCTGAGTGATCAATATTGCTCTCTGTAAACATGGAGATGGAGGGAATACATGAAAAATGCATCAACTTGGCTTTTTGTGAGTCTGTGTGGTGCTGAGGCTTCTATTATTATTAGCTTAAACAGAGTTTGAGGGATGTGTCAATGTCAATAAGCCACTTTAAACAAACTGATTATTGTATAGAGTGAAAAGAGGCAGCCTGGGCGAAACATATCAGTCTTGTAGATCCCAGAAACATAAACATGGAGGCACACTAGATTGTGGGGCGACCACGTGATAGAATCAACCTGAATGTTAATCAGCTCAAAAGATGTTGCGTGAGATCCACACAGCGCGGGGAAGTGTTTTAACATTAATTTGGAAGACTGTTGATGTACTTGGTAGCTGCTGTTGATTTGGTTAACGTCGATCAGCATATATGGGTGGAGGTCACATGTGCAAGTCTCAAGTCTTAAGCTTTAAGTTTCAAGCAACTACTCAGTTATTGTGAGCAACTTGCAAGTTAAATCATATATTTTTGTTTTAAATGTTCAGGGACCAAAAAGAAAGTTATTTCTCCATCCATCCATCCATCCATCCATCCATTTTCAACACCGCTTATCCTGAAGAGAGTCACGGGAATTGCCGGAGCCTAAGGTATTTAATTCATTGCATATATATATATATATATATATATATATATTTTTTTAATATATACAATTGGATGAATCAGTTAATGAATCAGTTAATGAAATTTTATCCGGCCACATTTCGGACCTAACATAAAAAAAATAAACAAAAACCAAAGATCTACCTCAGTTGGGCCCATCTTGTGTCATTATAAGAAGTTCCAGAAGGCACAAAAACCTGAAATAAGTGAGAATTGCTGGGGATGTGTTCTTCAGAAATAAAATGCAAAAAGGTGAATTGATGAATAGTAAACCCTGAGGTATTATTATACTGTATAGCATTCCACGATATTATGCATCATTCCACCTCAAATGCTCCTTCCTCATTCCAATATAGTCAGAGGGACTCCAGGGGACAGCCCACAGAATCATTGTACGAGTATTATTAATCCTTCTTAGTCAGAAAAATTACAGGAATAATACGGATCTTGAATATTTCAGACAAAGCCAAAGCGGTAATCGACTTGCACGCTTACACACACACACACACACACACACACACACACACACACACAAAAGAAAAAGCAATACATGCAATATTAATGTTTCATCATAAAATTTGGGCCCCATCTGAGAATGAGTGAGAATCCAATGAGAAGTCAATACTTCACAGGGAGAAAGTCCAATGAAGCGTACTTGTGTGTCTTATTAGATCACTGGCAGGCACATATGAGAAGTCAGTGAGTTCCTTCCTGGGAGTTTTAATTAGAACACCAGTCACTCGACTTTATCTTTGTTTTAAGGGGAAAGTGGGGGGGGGGGGGTTCCAGCATTCCTCGGCAAGAAGAGAGCTGCCTGATTCCACCTGACATTACCATTGGATTGTTCCGCAAGAGAGATCTATAGTGATGAAAAATTTAAGGCCTGTGAACAAACCCAACAAGATACACTTATAAACACGATAAACCTGCACACAAGCCAATTATATTTTTGTGTCCAAAAACATTCCTTTGCAAAGATAATAATATTTTTCTTTCTCACTATAAGAGAGTCCAAACAACTCTGCCTAGGAAGCTCAGTTCCCCCTTTGACGGCATTAATAACCAAGTCTTGCCCTTCCTTTGTTTACATTCACTGGGGATTGCACTCTGCTGCCCCCTGTTGAAAGCTGCCCAGCATGAAACTAAATTGTTTACAGTATGGACGTGGAAGTCATTATTATGAAGTGTGCACACAAACATATGAAAATCATTATCATCATCATCATCATCATTATAACATAGACAGACACTTAACGTTACAACAAACAACAAAAGATGTAGGGTCAAAGGTTTTGGGATGCATTGTCAGGTTTTCTAATGAGAATGTGTGTCCAAACCTTTGACATGTGTTGTCAACTCAATTTTGACAGTGCTTTCTCACATGTGGTTACTCCACAATGTTGTGTGAATGAATGTGTGCAATCCGGGGAACACACCTCTCCTTTCCTTTTTTTCTCCACAAAAGTCCTACTGTTCTTGTTTTTTTAGACTGAACTTTCAATAAAGAATCAAACAAGGGATCAGGGCCACAATGTTGTGTGCCCGTGTTTGTGCCAGGCTACTCAGCATTTTGCTGTATTCCTCCATAAATCATGTTTAAATGGTACAGTATTTTAAACTCCCACTTCCTCTTATAGACTCCTCCCACACCTACGGTTGGGGATGATAATGATATAATAATCAAAAATACAAATAATGGTTGGAGATGTAGCGACCTCTACTCGACAGTTTTGCCTTTTTGCATAATTCAGTCTTGTCATAGTCTGGTTTTCATGTTAGTTATTTTTTAAAACCAACTTGGAATTCACCAGAGGCAATAAAGGCTTGCTATTGTATTCCATTGCAGACGACAATGACAATGCATAGGTACTTTTTCCCAACACGACTACTGTACTTCGCTTTCATTTAATTTCACTATTCCTCATAACAAAAATATAGCAGACGTTTGTGAGCGTGCAGAGATGAAAAGAAGCAATCCTGATGCACGACGTGTTCTGAGCAAGCCCCACCCACCTAACCTTCTCCGCCCCCTTCTTATAAGGCCCGGAGCGAGCGTTGGAAGCTCAGATGAACCACCAAATTGGAGATACCAACCCTCCCGGGAGGATTTTATTCTTCTCGTTTCCCGGCCAGCATGGATTTTCTCAATCACAACTACTTGAGCGCCAGGGGGCCCTACGACTACACATTTAATTTCTGGAACGACTACCTGGGCCTCACCACGCTGGTCACCAAGAACCCCAAGCTGAGCATGCCCCACATCAGCCCTAACTCCATCACCGAGTCCCTGAAGGCAACCCTGGGGCTGGACGACGCGCCCGAGTGCGCCTGCGCTTGTGCTTGCGAGGGCGGCGCGCTGGAGAGCGGCGGCGGTGGCTGCTGCTGCTGCTTCGGCTGTCCGCCCGGCACGCCACCTCCGCCGGGATGCGTCGCGGACCTCAAGGAGCGCTTCTCCATCCTCAGCCCCTTCCAGAGCCAGCTGCCGGAGCGGGAGGCGCATGGCTGCTTCCCCGGCTTCGAGCGCATGAGGACCCGCAGTAAGCCGGCATCCGTGCGCGCCAAGCTGGAGCCCAAAATCTGCGTGTTCTGCCGGAACAACGGTGCCCCCGAGGAAGTGTACGGCTCGCACGTCCTCAAGACGCCCGACGGCCGTGTGGTGTGCCCCATCTTGCGGGCGTACACTTGTCCACTGTGCAGCGCCAACGGGGACAATGCGCACACCATCAAGTATTGCCCGCTGTCCAAGGAGCAGCCCCCGCAGAGGCCACTCAAAGGCGGCCGGGCTGTGGGGGGTAAGCGGATGAAAATATTCTAAAGAGACAGAGAGAAATAATCGAAAAAAATACGACTTAAGTATGATGAAGAATTGCACTGAACAATTTGCAGATGACTGTTCCTTTTATTTAGACTTTTATTCCATACACGTTGACTATGACTATTCATGCAGGGGTGTCCAACAAAATACACATTAAATATCGTATTTAGGCCAAGCCAATGTAGGTCGGAATATTTTCAGCAGTTAAACATATATTTTTAAATATACTGTATGTTTTGTGTTCCAAGCAACCAAGAAAATATTACTTTTTTAAAAAGAACTTTTTAGTCTGGTCCTTAATCTCACTTGTCATTTTTTATGCTTAGATAAAGTAATATTTGTTTTTCTTTAACTATTGTTGTGTGTGTGTGTGTGTGTGTGTTTGTGTGTGTGTGTGTGTGTGTGTGTGTGTGTGTGTGTGTGTGTGTGTGTGTGTGTGTGTATATCTAATGTTTATTTTTCAAATTTTATTTTTTTAAATGTTATTTTTAGGGTGGCCCTAAATCTAATTTGCAGTTTTAATTTGAATCGTTTAAAAATGTAATACATTTTCATTACTTTTTTTTGTTATGTTTTCCTTTTTCTTGTCTTTAAAAAAAAAAAAACTTTTTGTTGTCCTAACCCTCATTTATGTTATTTTTTATTATTCCACATTTGAATACTTTTCCATTTTTTTTTTACTATTTAGGGTTACCCTGCAAATTTGAATTCTTAGGAATTTTTTCCTCATTTTTATATATTTGGGAATATTTGTAACTTTTTGGTGTGGCAGTAAACCTCCTTTGTAATGCTAATTTTTATTATTACAGAATGTTATGTTTTTTCAATTTTCTATTCTTTTATTTTCTTGCAACGGGCCCATAAATAAATATTCGGCCGCACAATAGCCCCCGTGCCGCACTTTGGACACCACCAATGTATCAAGATCTATTTTTATAGTTCCTTTACCCACTTATAGACGCCTTCTACCTTGGATGTATTTTTTCTTTTTTAGTGTGTAGCGATTGGCGAGCTAATATGTGTGTATATAAACACACCAATGTACAGTAATCACACAGAGAGATGAACAAAAACAAGAGTATTTTGGGTAGTGGGAATTTGAATGTTATGTTTCTATAATGTGTATTTTTGTACATCTGGCAGCAAAGCTGACCTCATTTATTGTCGTCATTTAGAAAACCAAAGTTTTGTTGGCCATTAAAAACCTTACTGTTATGTTGCCGGTCAGCTTGACCCATATGAAACTTGAGAAATTTTTGATTTGAAATCATTACAATGAAATGGTTCGGGGATGAATTAATAATTACGCATATACAATGGTTACAATGGTACAATGGTTTTTGTTTTTCTGTTTTGGATACTGTTGGATTATTAAACATGGCCTGGGTCGAATTGATCCAAACGAAACTTCTTTTTGGTTAGTAAGAGTTATGAATAACGTTTAAACAATGATTGTTCAGAATTTTCTTCCCATTTGGACAGTTTTAGATCATTAAACAAGCCCTGGGTCAAGCCGACCCACATGAGCATTCTTCTTGGCTTAATGAAAATGTTTCATTTCACATATGTTCAATGAAAGTTAATAATTATGTAAACAATGCCCCTCCGACCACACCCCTTTTTTCCCTCATTTAAGACACTAGTGGATCATGGAAAACTCACCGGGGCAAATTGACACAGACGACACCAGTTTTGCTTGGTCTCAGAAATGTCAAATTTGAATGAAGCTATGTTTATTGGTATTGTTTTTAAATTACGTTTAAGACACATTTGTATATTGAAGCAGGCCCTGGGTCAAATTGACCCATATGAAGCTTATTGACAAAAATGTTTAATTTCACATGACAATGAAATTGAGAGTCATGGGGTTAATAATGACGTATAAAATATGTTCAATGGGATTTTCTTCAATTTCTGAACTTTTTGATCATTAAACACACCATGGGTCAAAATGACCCTGATTAACCTTCTCAATTAAAAAAAGTCACATATTTGCAATGAAATGGCTAGTCACAGAATGGTACATGTTTATTGGGATTTTTTAAAAATACAGTTTTGCACAGGTTTGCATACTAAAACTAGCTCAGGGTCAAATTGACCCATATAAAACTTCTGAGTGAAACTGGTTAATTTCATCAATATTTGCAATGAAATTGGTATTCATGGAGTTAATATTGGCATATAATTGCTGTTTATTGTGATGTTTTTGTTCAGTTTCTGATACTTTTGGATCATTAAATACACAACAGGTCAGAATGACCGGATGAAACTTCTTGATGAAAGCAAAACGTTTCACATTTTTTAATTGAAATGCTTCATAATTGAGCTCATAATGACATGTAAAAAATGTATTGGTATGTTTGTGACAATTTTATTGTCATGATTGAGACTTTTGGCTCAGTCAAAAAACGCGCACGCACACACACACACACACACACACACACACACACACACACACACACACACACACACACACACACACACACACACCGGGTCAAATTGACCCATGAACATTAATGCTGCTCCTGAGCAAACCAAGTAATCAGGAGGGTTTAACATAAGAATGTGTCCAGTCAGGAGTCGTTTGATCCCACAAAAGTTGACATTGAGTCCGCAAAATATGCGGGCCCCCAGTAGGACACAATACAATGTGTCCTCTGTTTAAGGGAGCTGCTGTTCTTCTAGGAAAGTATTTTTCCCCCCTCAAGTTTTTCCAAGCCAAACGCCTTCGTTTTTGTTTACATTGCCAAATAAGGGCATCAACACACTGGATTTCGCGCTTCTTCCCACTCGGACACAAGCAAATGAATGTCAACCACACGCCCGTTTTACTGAGGAGTTCCCAAATAATCAACAATAATCATGCAAAACTGTTTGCGAATGTATGCAGGACTGCGCTTGTCTTGACAGTTTACCAAAGGAATCAACGGTTAAGGCTGGCATGCGTGCGCGTGCGTGCGTGTGATGTCAGTATTTGAACAAAGAGTGACCATAAGAGGGCGCTACCTCAACCAGATTTTTGTACTTTAAAGGAAAAAAAAAACAAGTCTAAGGCAGTTTATTGATAGAGTGCCATTTATAATAATGGGTTTTGATAGTATTTTGGATCTTTGTATTACAATTGTTGCATTTAACACAAGGAGAGAGAGCGTTACAGAGAGCCTTGTTGTGTACATACTAATGAACATGCCCATACCTTTTAGGCAAATCTACTTTGTTGTTGTTGTTGTCATTGTTGTTATTGTTGATTTTGGATTAAATGAAGAAGTGATGATGATGAAAACACTGTTGTTATTTATATTTGACTACATTTCTTTTGGGCTTTATGCTGCTGCGCAGAATAACAAATATATGAACTCACTAGAGAAATAATAAACTGATGAAATATTTGTCCTTTTACTTGGTCTACACTGAATTTTTACTCAAATCTTCACGTGATGCCTGTCTATGATTCGTAGGCAAGAGACAGCAGAAAGACGACACATTTTCTTAAATAATCGGATAAATAAATGGACGATTATTTAATTGTAATTCTTCGGGTGAAGTTGAGCTACAGAACCAAAGTCCTCAATGTCATGCTGACAAATTAGTGGAAACTGTTCTTCGCTACTTTACTGTCAGACAAACAGAATATCGCCAACTACTGGCCTGGCATGCAAATTACAATGTGTTCAGTGCTGACCTTTTGGCAGAGTCTTGAAAGTTTATTTAAAAACAAAAAAATACTTTTTAAAACAAGAATAGCAATTTCTACAAATTACAGTGCATCAGTTTTTGTGAAAAATCATAATTCTATTTCTTAGTTCATTTTTCCGCATTGAAAAACAGCCCAAAATGCTCACTCAGTTTTCAAAAATGTTTTCAATGTTGTGGAAACTGTTCAAAAAAAGAAAAAGATAAACTTTCAAACAAGAAAAGTCATTCTTAAGAGTGACAACGTGTTGTTTTTAGAGTACAGGTAACATTTTCATAAATCCAATTTTAATTGTCATTTTTTGCGCAATGCTGATCATCGGAAGTGCATGCGCATCTAAACATTTTTTAAATCTCAAGACAAATAATCGGCCAAGCAACGACTCATAGCTCCAAGAACTTGTAAATCTAGGCATGACTGTATTACAACTGTCTTGGAATAATATGACTTTATTCTCATAATTTAAATTTTTTACCCTAACACGATACGTCTTTGTTCTTGTGAAATTACATTTTTCTTGAAAGAACACATTATTCTTTGAAAATTGAAAGAGGAATTGCAAAAACAAGCCAAATACTATGGTTCGGTACCTATTTACAAAGTTAAAAAAATGCTTAATGATGATTTATCCGTGTTTCTTTTTTCAAGATTTGGGTGAGTTCATTTTTTTTGTTCTATTTTTTTAAATACATTTATAACGGGTGTCAATTATACACTGATGTTTGCTGTTTATGGGCTGGCCTGGTCCCTATTCCCCCCAAATAGCATCTGAAGTTGTGAACATAACATTCCAACTTTTGTTGCATGTGACCGAAAGCAAGGAACATTTTCTCAAGCCTCAGCCCCACCATTAAATATGGATGACTCCTAAGCGCGATTGGATTGGCTTTGGTGAGCCTACATAAGGCTGGTGTTGCAGGCTCGCCGTGATATTCCCCCCAGGCCACCGCCTCCATTAGTGCAGCGCATGCCTGACTCCATATAATCTAGTTAGCTCAGCCACTTACGTGATGTGTATCTTACATGAACGTATAATAGGCCTTACCGGGCTGACTTGAGTGCACAATATAGCCTGATGAAGATAGTGGAGACCTTTAAAGGAGACATATGCATTCTTTTTCACCATTTAAAAGCATTCGAAGGGCTCCCAATTCACATGCTTTTGTCAAAATACAAAATGACAGCACTATTTACACCTCATTTCTTGTCCTGCTGAAATGAGCACCTGAAAACTACAGAGAGCTAACTCCATTGTCATTTTACAGGAAAGTGGTTTCATATTTTACAACTAGAGGTGCTGTCATTGTCTTCAGTTTTAAAGCCCAACTAGTATCAACTTTGTTGAATAAATGAAAATAAACAAACTGGGACTAGAAAAAACTAATTTTGCACAGTAGTGAACATGCGCTTTCTCGATTAATTTCTGTCCTTAACCTCAAAATGGCAACATCTTATCTTATTGTTAGCCCGCTTAGTTGTCAGTGGTTCAAATTAGCCTGTTGTTGTCAGGTTCTAGATCGAACCGAATGTTTTTGGATTCCACAAATACAGGCTCAGACAGAGTGCGACAACAAAAATAATTATTTTCAGAAAAGCGCACTGACGAAGTACAAACAGAAATCGCTGTTCACAAGGAGCCAGGAGAAACAACACATAAACAAAAGCGCTTGCAAAAGGGAAGGGACTAGGGAACCCCGAGCATAAACAAAGTATTAAAAAAAAAATAAACCTTAGAAATTAAAATTATGAATAACAACAACGACAACAAAAGATATCAAGAGGTCTAGAAAATAACACTTGAATCACTACAGCAGACAAGTTCAATAATCCTACAAGAGAAATTTCATCTGTTCTGTATGTACACATACAGCACATTTGACAATAAACTTGAAATTGAATTGAATGGATTAGCTGGTTTGGCAGTCCTTAAATACTTGGCAAGGCTAGATGGGGAAACACGAAATAGGTGTCCCTGTTGGGGGGGAACCACCCTTCACTCCAGCTGCAGCTAAAACGCAATCAAAACAGACAGAACATGACAGTTGTAAAGGACTAGCCATATCTAATCAAAGGCAGATGGACTATAGAGTGGAGCCAAGCGCAGAGTGGGAAATTATCAAATGTCCATCAAGACAATAAAAACATTTTCAACTGCCCAGGCAGCACTTCATACATTACACCACTGTACTACACTATGTAGTGTGGCGCAAAAATGTATCAGAGCACAAATAAAATAATCCTTAAATCATCTACAGATGGGAAATGTTTCAGCAGCACACCAGAGTGATTCCATAAATATAAGACAAATACAAATACATATTAACAAACTTAGCTTTTTGTGAAGTGCTATGTGATTTTAAATTCCTCCACCCATCCAATTTCTTATCCTCACGAGGGTCGCGGGCGGGCTGGAGCCTATCCCAGCTGTCTTCGGGCAGTAGGGCGCGTACACCCTGACCTGGTGGCCAGCCAGTCTCAGGGCACACAGACGAACAACCAATTGCACTCACATTCACACCTCAGGACAATTTAGTGTTCCATGAACCTGCCATGCGTGTTTTTGTCATGTGGGAGGAAACCGAAGTACCCGGAGAAAACCCACGTAAGCACGAGGACATGCAAACTCCACACAGGAAGGCCGGAAGCCTGCACCTCTGCACTGTGAGGCCGACGTGCTGACCAGTCAACCACCTGTGATTTTCAATACATTTGAGTTATTTTTTAAATACCAAGCCTCCCCTACTGCCGCCATGACGACACCTTCACTGAGCAACCAAGTGCCACTTACCAGAAGTTAATGCTATTCTCTGCATTCAACAGAACACAATGCAGCTCTGCTTACCTTTTGGCTATCACGTGACTGCAGGGACGTGAGCAGCCAAGGGGATAGCGGTGTTTTGGTATAATAGCACGCACGGCATGTTAGTGTTTCACACAATGCCGTCTTGTCGTCAAGACTATGGCTCTTGCCTGAAAATAGCTCAGGGCCTTTGCCCTTTCTAGCTCATCATGTTGTGGGTAGACAGAATGTTCCATAAGGGCTCACAGACACATTTTAGAGATAGGCAGATCATGAAATCTTTCCAGTGGTGCCCCACTTTATGAACTCTTCAAATTACCAGCTTTGCTGTGGGTTGTGAACCCAATTTGAATTACCAGCAAGCTTCAGATAGGGCAATGCTTGAATTAAGTAAAAAAAAAAAAAAAACATCGAGCAATTGAGATGTTGTTTGTCATGCCCTTGCATGCAGGCAAGGACAGCCACAGTTGCTGATGCACTTTCAGTTGTTTCGTGAACTGGAAAAATAGTCGAATACACAATGAGAACACTCGCAATGAGCTGCTGTTGGCCACAACTCACAGCCAGAGGCTCACATGCAAACTACCCAACCAGAAGCACATTTTGATTGTTAGACCTATTTTTTTGTCTTCCTAAAGGCCTCCCTTTTTCCTTTTTTCATTGTTGCTTCTGCAAAGCTTCTAAAGGGTAACCTAAAAATATCTGACATTAAGTGCACTGGCAGTCCCCCCCCCC